GCTGATGAAGTCTCAAAGCCTTCAGCTGCTATGTGAACTTAGAAAATGTAGATAAAACTGGTATATTTAAGCAAAGAAAAAAGAGGATCAAAGGACTTCAGTTTAGTTTTGTCTGTCAAACACTGTCATAAGTAAGCTCGGGAGCTGTATCCTGTGTGAACCTGATACAGGGCGAGAGACAAACCTCACTGTGAAATGAGTCCATGTACTCCAGTCCACGTGTACTATATTAAGCGTTCATTTTCAACAGGATTTAACTGAGGAGGGATTTTACAGAAGGGTGACGGATCTGGTATCACACACTATTGTCGGTAATCATATGAATGATGGAGTATAAAATATACTCATTAAGTGTGCAGATAAGGCTGTAAGGATATTATGTCAGGATTGAAGAACTGGTCCCACCTTGGACACAAGGACTTCTTGATAGCCACCTTCTAGCGGCATCTACCACCTCTGCAATCATCCCGCTTCATGACCCACAAAAGACTGGTGGAAAGACCTGGTACTTAAGACAAGCTGCATTCTCTTACCAGCATTAAAGGTCCTCAGGACTGAGAGGTTATTAAAAACAAAAAGCATGAGCACTTACGGCGTCCTCTCCCTGGCGGAATGGCAGCACAGTGGTGTTTGATGTCTAGGGCACAGGCTGTGTGGAGCACTGGGTCAACAAATATATCTGCTTTGCTTTCTTTCAGCATGTTGAGCACTTCCTGGTGAGGGGGAAATTACAAGTACATCTCAAAAAAAGGAGAGAGAACAAAACTCGCACTGCTCAATGTTCCTGAATGGTGCATCATCTTTTTAAATCCAGGATCATGAGAAAAAACACCACCGTCCCCGGCTGAGCCTGCGAATGCTGGTTTAGGCTGGATTAAATGTCCTGGTTTATAAGGGTTACCATAGTTATGGTCACTAAAATGCCCACATTAATCTAAAATACAAAGTCAATATGCAAGGGTTACTGCAGTTAGAATTGAAATAAGGTGCCATCGCCACGGGGGTAACTCATACAGCCCTTGATCATAGCCAGTGCCTCGGTCATACCCAGCACAAGGGAAGCCTGCAACGGAGACAGAGGCAGAAAATAGACTAGAAACTTTGGCAACCATAATCAAGAAAGGACCAAAACCTGGAATTGCAAAGAAGGCATTATCGACACAATTTTCACTGGCAAATTGAAACTGAATTGAATCGCTGCAGGCCAGAACTGAGATGTGTAAGGACATTTGTGGAGCTCTGGCATCAAAGTAGCTAGAACACGGCCCGGGCTCTGATCTGGAAAAATTTATGATTTATGCAGGGACAGGATGCCTTTTAGAGCACATTCAATTTATTTGCTTTACCTTCTTGCACATTTCAGTTTTTATTTTTAGCAGATTCACTTTCAGACATTCTTCCACCTGCCCAGTCTGCTCCTGAGCTGCTGCTTCTTCTGCACACAAGCTGGAAATCTATTGTGAAAAAGGTATTTTAACATAAGTAGCTCACAACAATTATTCTGCCTTTTAGCACATTTGTATCTCAATACATTAGTTCATCACAGGGTGCAGCTAGAGAACACACAATAGGGAGATACTTTCCCCCTCCCGCAGAATCCTCCGAGCCAAAGGCAGCCTGGCTCATGCAATATGCATACCCAAAACCCAACAGCAAGAACTCAATATTACTGTACTGAGAGGAAAGCAGGGAGGAAAACAGCACAGAAATAATGTTAAGATAGAAAATAAGCAATACTTGAGACATGGTTGATTCAACTATCAAAATGAAAGCTCAAAATCTGACTGTGTTCCAGTTAAGGTTGACAAGACCAGGGAACTAGCACATGGTTTTTTTACAACATGAAAGCAGTATTTTTCCATAATTACAAGTACTGAAGAGATCCCAGATGAAAAAAATTATTTTATGTTAACACTGCACAGGAAACTGCAATTCTTGCACAGTGGACAAAAATCAAAAGCAGAGGGCCTGACTAGCTAAAAGCAGTTCAAAGTGGCTTTTGTTTGTGTAATTATCAGGATAACTCCTGTTTTAAAGAACAAAATCTGTTTTGTGAAGGAAGTTTTCATCCTGACAAACTAGGTGCTGAGCTACTTCTCCTACCTCTTCAGAACAGTGCATCTGTAGCTGGGGATCCAGCCGATAATCAAGAGCCGATTCCTGGATTATCACTCGGATTTGGTCCTCGCAGTCTGGAGAGAGACGCTATTAAGCGGAGAAAGTCATTAACCCACTCAACGACCTTTATTTTCGTAAATCAATCACTTTGCCTTTTAACCTTTGTATTCTGTAATAGTTGTATAGGAGCATAAAAACTCATTTACGTACAGCCTGTCCCGTACACGGAACGCAGCACACGAGCCCGGGTTCCGTTTGTCAGACCACGACTGCTGCCCAGCACGATCCCGCACCGTTTGCATCCGCCAGCTCTACTCACCTGGTCTGCATATTTCAGCTTCAGGCAGGAGATGACTTGCCCTTCCAGCTCCGTATCATCCTTGGCCCTATTCAGGATATTTTGGCAGAATTTGGGTATGTCTGCTTTGCACGCCTTCCTGAGCACTGGGTTTAAGCGGTAATCTAACCGGGAGAGACGACAGAACTTCATTAGAGCACACACCTCTTCAGATTACAGAACGTAACGCTCCAAAAGAGATGTGACACAAATTCCCTGGATGACACTGTACCACCAATAAATTTCATTTGGGGGAAAATTAGTATTATTTCACGACAGAACTTCAACTTGTGAGGCAAGAGCTTCAGGAATAAAGCGGATCCATTAAGCTGACCCTCAAGAACTTGACTGAATAAAGTCAGTGTGTGCACTGACAACCACGAAAAAGAATAAAACACAGCAAATATTCTTTCAGCCATGCAGACCACTCAACCGCTCAGGCAGGCAACTTAATTTTTTTTTTTTTTCAGAAGAGGATACCTGTGTTCTGTGTAATCTGACGCTTGGTAATCATTTGCTTGCATTTAGGATCCATCACTTCACTGTTCTTGTTTTGTTTCAAACACTGCAACATATTTTTTGAGCCTGCCTCTGGACAAAACCGCTACAAAAAAAAAGCCCCAAAAAAACAAGTTGCATCATTAAGCACTTGAAAAACCTCCATAAAAACAACAACCAACTGTATTAATGGAAGAGAATAACCACTTGCCCAACACAGAGGTAGGCAGACACACTCCCTAGCCCAACATCTCCTGGGAAACAGTGGTACTCTCTAAACTGACTGTGGGCATGAATTTCTCTGCTTATGGACTGAGCACTAAGCTGTACAGCCTTCACTGGCTTCTAGGCATCAGCTTGTGCTGGGCAGTATCGAAAGCAGCTTGCCTTTATTTTCTAAAGTTACAGCACATTTTGCAATAAATACTCAGCAAACTACATCTCACATCCAACTATTTTCGCTCGCCTTTATTTTAGAAACTGAAAAGGGAATCTTTTAAGTCTAGGCACATACTGCTGTTCTGCATAAATGCTGGCTGCACAAAGCGACAGGTAAAGACTTCATGAGTAACATCCAGGATGAATTAAGACCATATGGAATGAGAAAGTAGAGGAGAGCTCATTGATACCAATTTGCCCATTCCCACTCTGAATTAGATAACCAAAAGTGAACCAGCTAGCCCAAAATTCAGACCAAGGTACTAATTTCTTTTGTTAGAAACTAATTCTGTGGGAGTAAGATAAGGCTGTTGCATCTTCTAATCCTCACCATTTTGGTGAGATTACAGGTCTTTTTTAAAAAGCATGAGTCTATACTGAAGAGCAATAGATTCTCAAGATGTTCTGCTTCAGTCACAATATGGAGTCAGGGTATTGCACACAGACCACACATTTACTGTTTCAGGGCTTACAATTCTGGCTGCTGCGTAAGAGTGTCTTGTATTAACACTCACTGCTGCTTTCCACGTGGTACCACTTTAAACCAGCATTTCTGATTTTAAGTTTTGCATGATTTTGCCTGCTTTATCAGTTTGATGAAAGCCTGTGTGTGCTAGGTCAGCAGTGAACTGAAGATGTTACTCCTCTCTGTAATCGTAACTTCTTCACCCTTGCTAAAAGCTAATCCGAATCCAAACCAACTAGATGAAAACTGTTTTAGAAGCCTCAGCGCAGACTTCCTCCTCAATTCTGCTGGCAGTTGGGAAGACAAATTTCTTACTGCACAGGCTTTGATCTGATATTTGGAGGAAGTAAGTTGAAAGAGCAGCCCTGAAGAAACCTCAGCCTGATTCCGAGTTAAGAAACTCCTTACTTTGCAAAAAAGCACTCATACTTCTGAAACGACTCTTTAGGGGAAGCTCAAAACCGACAGAGCTCTTCTATCCTGATCTCACCCTCTCAAATCAGCACACTACCGTTACCTTGATCATCTGCTTGCAGACTCTCATGAGTGTGTAGTCCAGCTCTGGATCCATCATCTCTGTCTCTTGCAGCTTGAACACCTTCTGGTGGCACTGGGTACTCAACTGCTTCTTGATTTCTTTCAGGCACTCAATAATCTACAACACAACATTACAACCGTAACAGACACACTGTTGATACAATTCTGAGACATGCTGCTCAAAACACAGAGCTCTGTGTTCCCCTAATGGCTACCCTCACCTGATTTATGCAGTTAAGTTTCCAATGCTCAGATTTGATCAAAAAAAGTCGTTACCAATGCTGATTTCCAGCACTTGCTTTAAGCTCATCTTTTCTAATCAAGATTCAATGAGATGAAGAGGGCCACTTGGACTTACTCCAAAACCCCAAACCTCATCTTGCAGACCATTATGCCCAAGAAATCTTTTGCAACATTTGCAGTAACCAGCTGCTAATAGTTTAAAACTAGCATTAACTGAGGAATGAACTGCTCACAGCACAGCATTCACCCAGTACTAATGCTTGTGAACCTACAGGGAAAGCAAAATAATGCTCCAAAACACTAACAAAAGATTTCACTGGTATCAAAATGAAAATCTAACGCTGCACTCACAGGGGTAAAAGTATTCCTCAGAAGTTTTCTGAAACGAAAGCACAAATTACACGGTAAATTATTAATAAAATCCATTACCTGAGCATTGCCATAAGGCACGTTTTGGCAGTAATTCTTGATGTCACTTTTACAAGCCTCATACAGTTCTGGTTCAAGTCTGATATCCTCGGTCTGCAGAACAAATTTCAATATGAGCTTCAGAGCAGCAAAAACTTCATCTAAAGATGATTTTACTTTGTTAATCTATTAACTAGAGCCCGCTAATCACAAAAAGCAAGCAATTCTCACAACAGGCACATCAGTTTCTTTGAATGCAAGAGTCGCGGGTGTGAGAAGTGGTGTCAGTCAGAAATCAACTTTGCAAATTCATGCGGTGGATCAGTTGCCTTTTTACACTGAAGAAAAGGTTTAAACTGCTCCTCCTCAAAGGGCATCGATGCAAATGCCCAAGACAGATAAAATCTTTTCATATGAAAGCGAAAGGACATATTAATAGCCATCCACCTATTGGGTGATTTGGAGGATGTGAAGGAAGTTTCCTGCTTTAAATGATGCTCAGCATTTGAATTCTTCCATAGAAAGGCAAGAGTGCTGCATCTTCTGATATGGGCCTACTTAAGGTGAAGCTTTGACACTCAAACAATATCTACTGGACAAAGACCTCACGAGTTTATTGCTGCAAGCCCCACAGCAGAAGTTGAGAGGCAGCCTTGCCTACTAGAACAAATACTACTTTTATTTATCCACTGAGCAACTTCGAGCAGCTGGAGTCGAGTTGCTTCATCTGTGCTCGTTTCCTCAGACTGTAAAATGAAGCTTTTATTCTCTCCTAGAGGACTTTAAGGACATCAGTATGTGTAGCACACTGCTATCGAACACTAAACATAATCACTGCTAGCTGAAATTCCAATGACCATTTAGCTTGCCTTAGCCTTCATGAGCCTATATTTAAGGCACTGAAGTAGACAATCATTACTTTCACCGTGAAGGGCAATTGAGCCTCGTGTTGTAAGAAGAGTGGAAAAAATAAATTATATACATCTTACAAATGAGCTTCCTTTTTTCCCCAGGGTGGACAAACCAGGAAGCTTGAATTCAAGGACCTCGCTAGAAGAGCGAGCAGATCAAGAGTTTCATGCAGGTTTACCATCTCTAGCTCCTCAACACGCAGCTGTTTGCGGCACTTCAGAGAGACCCTGTGCTCCTTGGCATCCTGCAAAGTATCATTGCGCACAGTTGTGCTCAGACAGATCACTACATCCACCCTGCAGAAAAGAAAACAGCTTTTTACTCAGATACCCTTCACTTGGACCAGTCAAGATTGGTGCTGGATCAGCACATCAGAGAAAGTGACCCCAGGAATCCAAACACAACATAAAGTCCTTGTGCATCAATGCTTACTTCCAGCCTGGGTACAGCTCTATATAGAGTAACTAGATCACAACTAAAACCTAAATCTGATGCTCTCTAATTGGCGTCTAGATCAGTGGACAAGAAGATATCCAAAATTCCACCACTCCCCTGCCCAGCAAGACCGACCTCTGCTCTCAAGTCCTGTAGGCAGTTTAGAAAAGCTTCCCTTAATCTCAGGAAAAGACAAAGGTCAATACCTACACGGCATTGCAAACAATCCTTTTGCACTATGGGAAGGGCATTTACATCATAAAATGCAAATAGTCTTGCTATCCACCAACGGGATTGACCTTGTGTGTAATTTACTCTTATGTCATTGCAGCAGGCCATTAAAAAAACCCTCATACTGACACGAATAAACCAGCTAAAACGAGTGGGATATTTTCCCTTCCCAGATCAGCAACTGGAACAACAGTGGCCAGCATCTTAGAAGACAATGAATCTAGCAAGGACATAAAACACCCTGGGACATGCGGTCCACTAATCGTAATCATTAGCTATTTTCAGAGCAAGAAAAATAAGGACAGGCTTGTATGTGAGAGTAAAGCAGAAGTAATTTTGAAGAGGCTGGCAATGCCTCGACCTCAAGCGTTTGCAGAAGGCAGTCGCTACGGGAACACACACAAAACAACCACCCTTTAAAGGAAGTCCAGCGTTTTCTGTCCGCTCATGAAATATCCTGTAATTTGTTACATATTTATACAATCAGATTGCCCTCTGGTCAGGTGCTACATACTTTTTTTTGATGTTGGGGCAAAGTTTCAGCACATCCTCCTTGCAAGCCATTTTGAACTTGTATGAGAACCTGAAATCTTTCATCTGAACCTGCAAGGGAGAAATGAGAACAACAACTTTGGTCACTTGGAGGAAGAAAAAAAAAAAAATTAAGAGCCTTGTCCAAAAGAACACTTGTCGAATTCATACAATCAGCAAATGCTTTTGTGCACAACTTGTTAACGTGGAAGCAAGAGGGACGCTGCACTGCTGAAGAAGTTGGGACTCTTATCTACCACACGCCAAGAAGGAAGGAGAGTCTGAAAATAAATCACCTTCAGAAGCGACCATTTATGACCAGGCATACAAGTACAACTGTCTGAATTCACAAGAGCACTTTAAACACAGTGAGAATCAATCTCAGAGAAGGAGGGGTTTCATAATTAGCTAATTCCTGTCAACACTCTCAACGAACAGAGCAGGCTTCCATTGACAGCAGAGAAAAACACTGCTTACCAGCTGGAAATGAGTAACTCCGATTGCACATTTTTCATTCATTTCCTTCTGGTGTTTGTTCTGTATTAGACACTCCATCAGATCCCCAGAATCAATCTGGTTATCTGCAACCTCCTGAAAAACAGGCAAAAGGCTTTTAAGCGAGCTACTCTTACAAGCCTTAATTTTTATGCTCCTTTAGCCCACTGTGACCAGGAAATAACGGAATTTACAGTCACCATTCACCATTAACTGACCACGTGAGAGCTGTACCACACCAGTATTTATAGATACAGTTGAGAAAAGAATCATGTCAGGCACATGCACACTTTAGACTCCGGAGAACATACCGCAGAGACTCAATGCTCACATGAAGCATTGCAGTTCGGTGCCTTCACTGCTACGTAACTACTCAACCCTAGAGCAATGTACGAAGTTATTTCAGCAATGCTGAGCAGCTGCGCAGAGCAGAGTGGTTTAGACACACCACTCGCAGGCAGGGAAGGAAGGAAAAAAGCTGAGTTTTTAACCCACTGTAAAGAGTGATTTTTCCAATTACAGGGCAATTTTCATCTTCAAACTCTAGCTTTTACGCTAGGGCTCTGACAACGCTAGAGGTACTAGATGGAACTAAGAATTTTTGGTTTAAGGTGGGTTTTTTTAATCAGAAGCTTTTGTAACTGCTTACGTCTGCTTTTACTTTCAAAGTGTAGCAAGCACACCAAGAACTAATACCAAAAAAACCCTTTCCCACGCAGTGTTTTTTCCCCAAAGACGTTCACGCTATTACGGAGTACTCACATGACAGAACGTCTGGATAATGGGCTCACATGCTCTCATCAGCAAGGCTTCAATTTGAATGTCCTGCAGAAAAAACATGCAATATTTCATTTTCACAGTGAATGGACAAGAAAAAGAGGCTCTGAAAAAAAAAAACCCTGTGTTAACAAGTTAAACTCAACTCAGTTTAGAGGGTTTTGAAAGATGCAATCCAGACAGCTTTGCCCTTCAGTTCTGGAAATCCCAGGGTTCGCTCTTGCCAACAACGTGGCAAATGCAGGACAAGCAAGAAACTCATTGCTTGGATATTTCTGTAAACCTTCTCCGAATCTAATGCTACAGCACTAGAAGTCACCTTACACCTAGGCAGGAGTTAAAGATTAACAATAGTTCTGAGCTAATAATTTTGTAACCACTAGAAGAAAGCTTTCCCTATGGCACAACGTAAGTTTTAAGAGATACGAGGAACATTTAGGGGCAAGATAGTCAAATACGCTGCTTCATAAAATAAGTAAAGCTGTTGATCTCACACCTGGCAGTTACTTCTTGCAAAATTTTTGGGACATTGGGGAGGGAAGTTGCAATATGGTGCTCAAAACTACTTGTAAGCAAGACCAAAAAAACCAAAGTCCCATGACATATATTGACTTGTACCAAAGGTAACTGGGTTCCCTGTGCAAGAAATCTTGGCTTCAGCACCATAACTGATTTTAATCAGGAGAAATGTCATCACCATTCTAAAATCCTAACTGTTGCCCAATTCTCTTCCTCAAGAACTCCACATGAAAACGTATATTGTACGCAGTAGAATGGATGGTTTTCGCTTGATCCCAGAGAGCTGCATTTCTGCAGCTACTTTAACCTCGCTTTTTTTTCCATCGCTATCTAAATGACATGCTTAACTAGACATGCTCAACTATTCCCTTTATCCCAGGCCGAGAGCTGCTCACCTCAGACTCCAGCTCAGTGAGGTTTCCCACTATGTCTCTGCAATCAGACACCAAGTCATCAAGATGGTCCTGAAGGCATTCCAGTTCCTACAAAACCAGACATTTTAGTGTGTGATCCAAGAACCCAATGCGAAAATTTGAGCTTGAAATATCGTAACACACACGAAACTGCCCTCCTCCTTGTAAAGTCTCAAGTCCCATTTAATCCTACTCTGCTACAGGCACTGCCAGAACACATATTAGTAGTGGTTGAGAACGTTGGTCTAGGATGTAACCGCTTGTTCTCAAAAGCCGCACGACGTGCTTTCACTTCTGGAATATCACATTTAATTTGCCCCTCGCATAACCTTCACGGGAGATTAATTACCCAAACTACAACCTGTGATGGGCACTCCGAAAAGACAACGGCCTACGCTCTCCTGCCTCTGCTGCGGAACGGGTTCTCCCCCGCAGCTATGCTAGGGCACAGCAATTTAACATGAAAGTATTTGTTGAAACTTTGTTAAGTAGCAGCAGATGTTAGTTCAGTTCTGTGTAAACACAGGAAGCATGTCAGTATTTGCCAAATGGAAATGGGATAAAGTTTACGTGGGAAATGTCAAGCTTGTAATAGAGTATTACAAATAAGAGTCAAGGTGGGGTGAATTGCTTCATTAAAGTCCTTCTTTTTAACGATCCCCTTCCTGCTTCTCGTTCTACTACACATTTGAACCTACTGAAGCCATGCAGTAGGTGCAAAGCTTCTTGGAATCACCTCCATCTCTCAGTCTAGCGTAGATTCTGTTTCAAACTCATTTTTAACATATGCTCAGCTATAAAGAGACAGCTAACAAGAAGATTTTTTTTTCCCGAGGGCTGGAACACCTCTCCTATGAAGACAGGCTGAAAGAGTTCAGGCTGGGGCGGTTCAGGAGCTGGGCCCTGGGGAGAGAAGGCTCCGGGGGTGATCTTATTGCAGCCTTCCAGTACCTAAAGGGGGCTACAGCAAAGCTGGAGAGGGACTTTTTACAAGGGCATGTAGCAACAGGACAAGGGGCAATGGATTTAAACTGAAAGAGAGGAGATATTGATTAGATATAAGAAAGAAATTTTTCACTCAGAGGGTGGTGAGGCACTGGCACAGGTTGCCCAGAGAAGTTGCGGATGCCCCATCCCTGGAAGTGTTCAAGGCCAGATTGGATGAGGCTTTGAGCAACCTGGTGTAGTGGAGGGTGTCCCTGCCCATGGCAGGGGGGCTGGAACTGGATGATCTTTGAGGTCCCTTCCAATCCAAACCATTCCATGATTCCAAGACGCCCCTCTGTCCCCTTTCTGCCTTTCCTTCTCTCTCAGCTTTGCAAACGCAGCAGCAGTGTTTCTGCGTACAGTACCTGCCCTGTCTCCGTTTTTTCACTGCACCACTTCCCTAAGTCAATCATGCACTTGTTCTGGAGGGCTGGGTCCAGCTTCACGTCCATGGCACGTTGATGGAGGATCCTCTGGACCTCTGCTCTGCACTCTCGTGATAGCTGCAAAAAAAAAAGAGCATTTAGCATATAGGGCCTCTAAATCCATACAGTGCAAACCAGATGCTGCCTGGTGAAGTATGGAGAGTGACCACGACTGCCAACAGCACAGAAGTTGTCCTGTACTGCTCAGCACAAGCCTGCTGGGGACCCCACAAGTGATCCAAAAGAGTCTGGAGCTTAGCCATTTAGTCTGGAGGGAGGCTCCTTTCATTCCACTAAAATGAATTTTACATTCTTAAATCCTCACTTTGCTTTCGAAATGAGATGTCAAAGCAGGTCTCTACATTATCTGCTGCTCTGTCCCCTTCATTCAGGCTACAGACTGCTTCCGGAGAAGAAAGTCAAAATAGCTGATGCCCTCAATACCAAAAGGGAAACCCAGAATGAGGCAATATAGTAACTTCTTCCCAGTAATCCCCACTGCAGCACATCAGAGCCAGCATTTGCCCAGACTGAGGACGAGACGAATTGTAGAAAATCCAGGGATACTGCAAACCTAAAAAACACACTGAAAGCTTAAAACTTCATACATTTTAAACCCCTGGCAGCACTGGAAGTTACCTACCATTTTGTGGACAGCACTGGAAAAAAAGTTCTAATCTCTGATGAGTTTGCTTGCAAATGCTAAATTTCAAAATGACAGCTGCTCCCTCAGCCTACTTTCCACAAGAAAAATACATTTAAAAGCTTTTTCTCTCTCCGATAGATTATTTGCAGGCTGGCTATTGATTTCTTTGGTCAGCACAAATATAAAATGGAATTAAGAAGTCTCAACTCAGCAGACTAAGAAACTGCATTAAAAAAAATTATTCCTAAAAGAGAGATGCTTTCCATCAATACTTGACCTCTGCCACGAGAGACCTTTTAAATCAAGCTGTAGAAATTAATTTTTAAGCCAGGCCATTCTGTATACCCACCAACTCCTAGAGGCTGTGTTCAGCACAGTGCCAAAAGAAATGGAAGCGGTATCCAGCTGCTTTCAAGGGAATGCCTTGATAAAGGCACGAGAGGGCAGCAAACTTGAAAAGAGTGGTCCTGAACCGAAAAAAAGTCGCTATGGTGGATATCCAGGCTGCAGGGCAGCAAGTCAGACCCCTACTGTCTTCTTTAAAGACAGCAGAAGCACATTTACCAGTACACTACACTCCAAAGAACCAAAAGGATGCTTTATATCAATAGGAAGAATTTAATGGAGCATAATCTGAAGTTGTACTCAAACCAAACCTTAATTAGAAACAGCCTAGGAAAGCTGAGCTTGGAACTCCGTTTTGCATAAAACCAACTTAGCAGCTATGCTAGCTATCTACAAGGAATCACAGTCCTCTTTGGAAAAACAAGGGGGAGGACTTGCGCTGTGCCTAAACAGATATAAATAAGATGCCAGCACACAATTGTCACATCTCGATGTGGCTATTTTGCCTTACTGGAACAACAACATACGCCTTCAAGGCACAATTGAGGAGGAGTTGGGCATCTGAAGCAACACAAGTACCACCTATGGTAAATACTTTCAAGTAGCTTTTGCGAGTTCTTGCCGTTTTAGCACAGCGTGTCCAACTTTCAAACATATGGACAACCTTCTGTCACAGATCAAAGAGCAAAACTGCACTCTAGCACTTACCCTCCTTCCTTGCTCCTCTGTGCGGTATGCATGCCTGTACAAGCAGGAGAAAACAGCCCCTGGAGGCATCAGCTCACTGGTCTCATTCCAGCCATGGGTATGGCAGAGACGGGAGGCATCTCCCTGACACTTGCGGTAAAGGACTGTATCCAATCTGCAAATGGAAAAGTTACCACTAGCATTTTATCCAAACCTTTAACATTTTTCATATTCCAAAATGCTTTCGAGGCAGAAAAAACCTACTTCAAGTTTCATGCGTGACCACATCATTTAGCAGCAGCGTCTAAGCAACTGAACCAAGAGGTGGTAAAATGCCTGTCACTGAATTTAGAATCAACTCCCTAATCCTGCAAAAACACACTAAGATCTTAAATTACAGATTAAATCTTCAACGCTTCTTGAAGCACCTCCCATTCGCTTCTGCAGCATGCCAGCCAAACGTTGACACACAAGAAGAGAAATCATCTCCTTGATGTCCTAAAGCAGCAGAGAGGCAGGTACGTATCATGTTTTGTTTCTATAATACCTTACACGTCTACTTTGTACTGCTGCCATTTTGAAATGCCAGTTTTCCTAAAAATCTGTTAGTTAGATTAATTATTGTCTTAATTCATACAAGAAAACTGCAAGTGCAGTTAAGGCATCTCTTCAGATGACCTCTAATTACAATAAAGCTAAGTGAGATATTGCTAACTTTCTAGAATGGAAACTCCCAACTCCTACAACACTTTAGAAGACAAACATCAAGTATTATCAATGGACACAGTCATACAGATGATGATAAAAGTAGCAAGAAAATCATTTCTACTTCGTGGATCTGTGCTAGGCGCACAGTTAATACAACAGTTTTTATAAGCCAGTCCTAGGAAACAGTGGTTAAACAAGAAAGATGAGGTAATGTTGCCCAGCCTGCAATGGGAATTAGAATTATCTTTATTCCCACCAGAATGCAAATACTCAGTCTTCCTCCTTCCAATCACTTAAGTTTGGCTCAAGCAATGAATTACCTGCTGGAAACACGGCGCAGGCAGGAGAACCAGCAATGAAGGGAAACAGGAAGAGGAGATAAAAAATATTAAGTATTCCTGTCTGCCTACGGAGACAGTTATTGAGATGACTAAGTTAAACAGCACAAAGCCTTAAACGTTCTGGTCCATGAAACCCCACGTATTTGAAAAGCAGAAGGTTCAGAGAGCATGTCAGCTCTTAGCTACTGACAACGCTGCCCACAGACACAGCTATGAGTCAGATATTCTTAATGTTTGATTTGAATGCCCTTTGCAGTAATTGAAGCCCGTGACTTCTTTTGCCTTTCACTCCTTGTGGTCACTGAGAGCAATTACTCCATTTCTTGCACTTCCTCAGCTCTCAATCTTCTGCAGAAAAAAAAAAGCCAAACACTTATTCTTTCCTCACTGGTCATCTTTATCAAATTTATGCTCTCTTCATCTTAACCCAGAGAGACACAGGAGCTCTGTACATATTTAAAACAAAGCGCTGCCATCTTTGGATGAGAAAGTTGGAAAAGCAGTGCTCCAAAGGGAATTACATCTGGGTAATCAGACCTAGAGAATTTGAAAAAAAGCAGAAACAGAAGCAGGGAGGCTCTCACACAGTGGCTCTTTGTTATACTTAGTAGCTTGGTTTTCTCATACTCCAATTTGCAGCACTCAGAGCAGATCAAACTTGTTGCCACCTGCACAGAAAGTGACCTTCGACTTCAATATGGCCAGAGAGGCTTCTTTTTATTAAAGATGCATTGAATTTCAGAGTTCAAACTTGAGACGCTTTTTGGGGTCACATCTGTTCTAAGTGAGTACCTGATTTAACTGGACATGACACTTAAGCAGCTTTTGCTTATACTGTTTTAGAGAGGCATTAATGCCCTACAGACCTGGCATGCTTAGAAGGCCTCTTATGAACAAGCACAAGCTCTACTGTTTTACAAGGAACTGCTAATGCATACAAACACTAAGCACAAGCATCAAGTGAGGATAAGTATTGTTTTACAGTACTCACTTCCAATCACGAGATATAAAATATTGGAGCTCCAGGAGCCTATGCTCACAGTCCTCTACCATCTTCTCAGTATACAAATGCTCCATCAGGCAAGACAGAATCCTGCAAACAGAAGAAAAAAAGTTAGGCAACAGACTGTTATAATCATACTGAGCTTCCTTGTAATAGTTGGTGTTGCCAAATCAATCTTTCCAATGAATGATAGATAAGATGTTCAAACACAGTGAAGATCTTTCTCTTCCTTCAAAAAGACTACACCTAAAACAGCTGTATACCACATCTGCACCCTCTTAAATTCCATTGTTTCAGTTACCTCAGTAAGTCTGACATACGACAAAATTGCAAGGAATATTTTTATGTAACATCTGGCCCAGGACATGGTACGTATCAGACCTGAAGACAAAGGAGACATTTGTCTCCGCAGTATCAGTTTGGTAACTGGCGTTCCAAGGCCTGTTACTTTTTTTTGTGATGTTGCTAAAGAATTAGGTAATAAGAGAAATTAGCACATCAAACGTTACAAATTTAATCTCAGTGCCTGAGACAGCTACATCCTTCGCCAGTGCTAAACCAGCCCTGTTACAAAACACCAGCCTGTTATACAGCAAGAAAGAAGGCAGGGCTTGGCTCACACCTCCAACCCTGTAAGAACTGCTAGTCTGGAGTCTGTCCATTCTGGACAGGCTTTAGTATCTGTACTGGTCAGCCACCCAGCCGTCGTGGACAGCCAACAGAAACAAAAGCCAGCTGTAAGTGAGAACCACCTACATTGGGTCTCCGGAGCGTATGTGCTTGCAGGCAGTCTGGATCACCGACTCACAGGCCTCGTTCAACGCCCGGTCAATGCGATAATCCGCACCGGGGTCGGTTTCTTGAATCAGCGTTTGAAGCTGGGGAAAAAAAAAAAAAAAAAAATGTGGAGGGGAAAACAAATTACAACAGTCAAAATGAGAGTGCTTGTGACCTCTCAGAGTGGCGATTCTACACCAATAACAACACTACCAGGTGTAGTAGACTTGTAGACCTTTACTCTACAGTTGCTTAAGTGCTTGTGCTCCCAACTCAATTACCAGGTGTGGGAGCCCAGGGATGCTGAACCCTAATTATCCTTACGAAGCTGCCCAGGACAACAGTAAACCTCAACCAGTTATATACCAAGTTACAAACCAGAAATGGTAAAATTTGAACATTGTATTTTTGATCCATCCTCATCCCGTAAGGCTGTGTCACGTTTCCATGAGGACTACCTACTGTTCTAAACTGAAAAAACAAATCATTGTTCAAAGACCAGATGCCTATCTACAAAGCAAGCTTAAAAACCTTTTTTAATTGCTGGAAAAGGACACACAGTTTCACCGAAATACAGAATAAAATGTCCTCTTCTGCTGGTTTCCTCAAGTATGCCTGTTCAAGCTTTTGGAATCCAGGGTAACCCCTATTTGCTCTACAGTACACAATTTATTATTTTTATTATATTGTATTGGTTTTGTCTTCATATATATATGAAGGGAATTTGGGTAAATGCCTGTCTTGCTTAATCTATAGTTTGGGGGAGAAGAGCAGCTTTCCAGGCCGCATTCCAGCCCAGGATCTCCACACTCCACTTCATCTCCCACCAAGCTCTGAATTCCCAGAGACTGACATAGGGCAGATTGGCATCATCGTTCGACAGAAACATTTTTAGCTGACAAATTTGGAGAGGAAAAAAAAAAAAAGAGCTTGCTTAGAAGGCAACTGCACAGGGACACCAAATGGTCTACGCTGTTAACATCTTGACACTTATTTAATGATTTTTGTTACTGGCCCTCAGCCCAACTACATCAAAAGCACGGATACAATTTTACCCTCCGTCTTTCAAAGTCTGCACCTAAACACCACCCAGGAAACTCTCACGGGCAAAGCCCTAACAGCACAAAACAGAGAGGAAAAAAAAAAAGCATCGGAGAACTGGAGAAAAGTACAACTAGCACTATCTATCCCATAGGAAACCTGTAATCAAGAGGACAGACCACAGACTGCCTGGGAGGAACACAGGATTTCCTGCAACTTGCTCTTGGCCAAGTTAATTAGGCCCAGCCTGAGTTTCTAAGGGACACAGGTACAAGCTGTTGATTCAAAAATTCTTGGGATATTTTAACTAAAAATAAAAATAATAATAATAAAAAGAAACATTCAATGTGACACTGACAGTGGTCAAAACAGAAGCTGATACCGGATTTAGTTCATAACAGGGTGCTGCACCTCAACCAGCAGGAGAAGTGGCAAGTCCTTTACAAACTTCCTAAGAGTCGACCAAGGGAGGAGAGGAAGAGGGGCGCTCTGCAGGTGTGCACAAACACACGCAGCCTGCACGGATGGGCAATACCCTGAGCATAAAGTCCTGGGCTCACTTCGTGTCAGATGTTTACATATAAAAAGGGATGAAGTATGATCACTGGAATTACTCCCTCAAGGACGAATGGATGAATAAAACTTCAAACCTGGCGCTTTCTTACACACACAGATTAAATAAACTGGCCAGAGTATTATATAGGTAGGATTCTTCCTCAGGCCTCAGTTTAAGTGGTGTTTGTGTTGCCATCAAGTGGAAGAGGCCAAAGCATGCTGGATACCACAGCTCAGAAGCACCAGATCATCTCGAGGTCTTTCTACTGCAGGATCCCCAGTCCTGACTATGAAGACAGGCTGTGAGAGTTGGGGTTGTTCAGCCTGGAGAAGAGAAGGCTCCGGAGAGACCTTCTAGCACCTTCCAGTACCTAAAGGGGCTACAAGAAAGCTGGAGAGGGGCTTTGGACAAGGGTGTGTAGTGACAGGACACGGGGCAATGGCTTTAAACTGAAAGAGAGGAGATTTAGATGAGATCTAAGGAAGAACTTCTTCCCTCTGAGGGTGGTGAGGCACTGGCACAGGTTGCCCAGAGAAACTGTGGCTGGCCCATCCCTGGCAGTGTTCAACGCCAGGTTGGATGGAGCTCTGAGCAACCTGGTGTAGTGGAAGGTGTCCCTGCCCATGGCAGGGGGGTTGGAACTAGATGGTCTTTAAGGTCCCTTCTAACCCAAACCATTCCATGATTCTCAACCACATACAAGACGTGCAGCAGCGAGTCAGCTGCTCTGACTGCAGGGTCAAGGGAATAATTTGGCACCAGTAATAAAAGTGAAGGTTTTATAGGATTTTCCTCCCTCCCGCAACAAACCCAGGCAGCTGGAAATCAGCTGGATAACCTCTACAATCCTCTGAACTTTTATCCTGATGTGGAACTAAATTAACAATTAATTATCGGTTTATTAGCTGTATCAGAAATTGAAAGCAGAAATACCTGCCCTTTTAGCAAGGACTAGTTTTACCTGCTCTAGGGACTGCGCAGAAAAAACCCAAAAGATACCAGAGCAACATAAAAGTCACATATTTGAGCAACAGTTCCCCAGCAGCTCTAGTACAAAACATTGCTTCCACTGAGCAGCACCACAGGTGCTAGACACTGCCAGTACAGCTGTAGATCTTTCAAGGGCTGATGGCCAATTAAAGGTCACATACATCTGCTGTCTGATGACCTACAGCATCGCAGACCCACCCTCCCTACGTGCAGGATCTCCCTCCTTCAAAGGACAACACAAGTATGACATTTGCAGAAGACCATTTAATGACTGGAACATATCCAAGCTGTGCAATGCTTCCCCAAAGTTTTACATGGGAAGGCATGCTCCTGAAGTCGTATCTCATTCCGATGATATTTATTTTTCCTTAATAAAATGCATGCCCCTACAGAGGTACATCAATAGTATAAACAGGAGCCCTTTCCTTTGCTTCAGAACAGGTAGATTGCTCTGAGATAGCGAAGCCAAACTGCCAACAGTCCTTAAAAATGCACGTTGCTAGAGCACATCTGGGATATGCTGGGGTGAGGAAGGTACTAGAGCCTACAGTTAGGCAAGACAAAGCTGACTAAACACCCAGGAGTTTTTTTTGAACTTAAGCTGAATAATTTATGTTACACAGAAAGCCATCATTCCTCCACCGTCTACAGAACTTGGGCATTTTGACAAGTTCACTGATCAAAACTGAGACAAAAAGCCACACAGCTCTCAGAGGTTTGGGTCTAGGAAGCCTCTTGCTCAACAGGACCGTTAATCGTGAGCACAGATTCTCAGATGCAAGATTATTCCGGCTGAGGTGTCACTAGAAACAAAACCCCTCAGATCAAGAAATTGGGTTTTGAGAAGGTTTGAGAATGCATTTCGTTGACAGTTTAAGTACAAAGAATCACTCACATCGCTCACGCAGGGAAGGGTACCAGCAGATGCTCCTACAGAAAAATAAAATCATGCAGGTTCTTTGGTTATGTTTTATTGCTTTGGGATTTCTGTGTTGTTTTTGGCAGACGGGCAAACATCTTCCTTTCATAAAGCAAACAGAATCAGAGCAAACCTTGACAGACAGGACAGTTAAGTAAAACCAGATCCAAATTAGATGTTTCCTGTTCCAATTTCCTCAAGCAAACCGTCTAGGCAAGCACATCTGGTCATACAGCTTCTACAACGAAGAATTTCATGACTAGTCTTACTGCTTTGAGCTAGCCAAGAAATGAAAGTGATGTATTAGATGCTACTAAAAGCACAGGGACGTAAGTTTTTGACTCTGCACAGAGAAGACAACGTTTGGAGATGGGCCCAAAGCACTGCAGCCAGCTCTGCTGGGACAAGCCCAAAGCAACAGTGTTGCCTTCCTCTGTTTCTGCAGGTGAGAAGGTATAGTAGCCACAGACTAGCCACATCAAAGGTCAATCTGAGAGCATCAGCAACATGTTCCTGAACTATGAACTGCCCAAGAACATCAGAAAGCAAGGACCAACATCAGTCAGCTTTGGTCTAGCTGGACTTGGGCTGAAGCCATGCGGACCAAGCAGTAGCCAGGAGCAAACAAGCAGGAGACGGCTGAAGCAGCCATCCTGTCTGCAAATGAGGAGCCATTGCAGGTACAAAGTGATAGGAGCTCTCAGCAACGCTGCACTGTAGACAAAAAAAATCCCAAAACAAAACAGTCCACACTCTTTGATGTGGTCTGCTTACCAGTTTTTGGAAACACCACAGGTCAATCTTTCCCCCATGAATGAATTAACTGAGGCAGCACTTCTGAGACCAACCACATGTCTCAAAGACAGAACTATACTGACACACGGCAACAAAGAAAACCAGCTTCAGAAAAGCATCAGTGGCTTAGAAGAAGCACATGTCGAAGGTGCTCTCTAGGTATCCAAAAAGAGATGAAGTAGCTGCAGCTACTAAGCTGTGATGGACCTCTGACTTGCCTTCTTCACAGCCGGTCATACGGGCCAATCTCATATGACAGGTGAGTTTTGAGCCTCTTGCACAAGCCACACAGTATCTGGAAAGGTTTCAGACAATATTCTCTTCCTTATAATTTACCTACCAAAGAAGGTAAAAGCAAGAAGCTCTTTCTACAACAATAAATCAAAACAGAACAAAACCAGCGACAGCTGAGACAACCATTACCATTCACAAGCAAAAAATATCAACAATAAATGTTGCACCCTCAGAGGCCGCAGGCAGCTATATAATAGCATCATGCCAGCCCTCAGGTACTCAGAACATTGGAATGTCTACCCTATTCTTGCAATCACCTATTTCCTCTTGTCCATAAAAATATGGACAAACTAATCACATTTTATAAAAACCAACACTTAATTTGCTCCTGCTGTCTTTTGCATAAGGAACAGAACACTGTTCGTTCAACTCAAGGGCAAGGAATGGACAAGCCCTGCTGTGGCATCAACTTACTATACAAAAATAAAGCAGAAGCTTAAGAGAAGTAAAAAAAAAAAAAAAAAACCCTACAGATTTCTACAGACATCCTTCTCCAAAAGTCTGAAATCTCACATCACCTTTGGAGGTCCCCTGCCTTGACTTATGGCTTGTTCTGAACATGCACTTCATGATCTGGAAGCTATTCCCAAGATGAACTGCTCTTCTGACAATTTGCAAGTTCAATTTCGTATTTAAATAGAAGCAAGTATTCAGTTTTTCACACCAACTTTGAAAGCTAAGTCATGCACTACAGCTCACCGCAGAAATGACTCAAACTGTGCAGCTGCTGCACCAATACACCTGGTATTTATGCAGAAATAAACTTCACCACAAAAGCATCTTATGCCTTACCAAAATTTAACAGGTACTAATTGATCTTCGATAACATAAGCAAACTGGCAACATTTTGGGCTCAGGCTTTAAGCTACATTTACACTGACAATGGACTACAGTGGTTCCGAATATTGCAGGAGGTCAAGGACATACATCTCCCAAAATTCCTACATCAGCACTAAACCTCCCTAGCCATTTTTGGCACTGACGTCACTTTTCCAGACCCATGGGCCATTAAAAGCAGGTATTAAGTATGGAAGCATAATATCAAACTAAAAAGCACTAATAAGTTTGAATAAATAGTAAATAATTGTTTCCAATTTAAAAATACTACAAACAGGATGCATCTGGGCCAAAATGGAGTTTTAAAATGCAAAAGAATGATCCCATCTTAAAAAGGTATTTTGGAGAGGAACGATGTTTCCTTCATGGGCTGCAACTACAGGGATGGACAGCAGCGTGTTGTACCTACCTGTCCCTGAAGTTCCACCTTTTAAGCTGAATGAAATAGCAAAACTAAAACCGAGTGGAAAGGTGCTTTGAGAAGATTTAGTGCATTTCCAAGAACAGGGTATAGGGAGGAAAAGGGAAGGAGAGGGAATGTTTTGAAACGCCTAAAAAAGCAAGTTTCCCTATATCTTGCACCCAGGAGAGAATTCCATGATTTGAGAGCTGCTGGAGACGAACTACTGGAGACCCAGTACAAAATCCAGAGCGAAACAATCCAAAATGTATTTTTTCAGGAAAAAACCCATACATTAACAGGCAAATCAGTGCTTCTAGCAGCTGAGGCACCTAGAAGCAAAGTGACAGAAAAGCATCTTACTGCCTGCTGACAGCTCAGCCCGACGTTTCCCTTCTCGCCCCGTACTACTTTCATCAGGCAATGCAGGGTGCGACCTTTGCGGTGCAGCCCTGAGCAGTGGTGCTCGATCTCCCCTCGGCAGCTCAGGATGATTTCGGGGCTCAGCGAGAAGTCTTCCATTAGCATGCGCCGGTAATCCAGCATTTCGCCCTGGCACTCGCTGCTCACTTGTCGACCTGAGCCAAGAGAAGATGACATGATTTAGTACTGATGTTTAGCAGAGCCTCTCTTGATCTGATCTACCATCACGTTGGAAGAATAGCCACGGTGTCCACGCTCTGGACAACACCAGGTTGCAACAAATGTGCTAGAGCAGACGTGCTGGGGATTAAACCAATTGTTATGGTAGCTCCCAGAATTTAACTGAACTTGTAAACCAGCCAGACTATGGATTCAACGCATGGATTTGAAAAAAGGATTCCTGAAAGATCAGGACAGTCTTATTTTGTCATTACAGAAGGTGCTTTTGAAGAACAGCTGGAAATGCTTGGTGGACCTGCACTTCTGTGGTACAGGCCAGCTCTTGCCCATATGATTAGGGGCTCATTTCTCCCCTTTAGAAACAGAAGCCACCTCTGGTAATTTACCAGCTTGATATGTAATCGGAGGAGGAATCTGTCTGGACAGCAAGTTAAATATTTTCTGAGGAAAAGGTTTTCTAGAGCAATAGCACATATTTGCTGAGGAAGCCAAAACCCAGAACAGAATATGTTATTACCAAGAGTTATTTTACCATGAGAGTTGTAGAACACTGGAACAGGTTGCCCAGAGAGGTGGTGGATGCTCCATCCCTGGAGACGTTCAAGGCCAGGTTGGACGAGGCCCTGAGCAACCTGATCTAGTTGGAGATATCCCTGTTCCTTGCAGGGGGGTTGGACTAGATGACCTTTGAAGGTCCCTTCCAGCCCTAACCATTCTATGATTCTAAGAGTACATACAGTGCCCAACAAACCACTGTAGTTGCACAGAAATCTAACTTTAATCAATGCTCAGATCTGCTACAAGCTTTCCTACAGCCCCATGTAGACAGTTTGTTGTGGTTTTTTTTTTTTAATGACAAGGAACACGTCTTTTTTGCTATGCCCTCCCTTAAGCCACCATCACAACCTACTCGTACGTGTACAACACCCCACGCGACGGCGGTCCTACACCCCAACTGGGGCTCCCAGGCACTACAACACAGACACGTGGAGGTGTGTGCAGTAATTAGCATTCCTCCTGGGCTGTGCTTCGTGCATGAGCCACACATGGCAGGACCTGTTCCACCATGAAAGTGGAAGTTAATCACCGAAAAGCAGTTTTCTGCATATGATTCAAGGAAGCACCTGTCCTGCTGCAGGGAGAAGGAAAAAAAAATCCCACAACTTTTCCACAAACAGCACACATCATTTCCACATCAATCAGAAGCAATGAGTTATTCAAACTCACAAATACAGAGACTGCTTATGGTGTTACGGCGGGGCTTTCCTCCCCC